CCGGGCACATTTCCCATCTCTTTCATTGCCGAGCCCAATGCCTTTCCACCCCAAGGAAGTCTTCCCAGCCCAGCAAGGATTTCTCGGCGCACTCATCCTTTCCCAACCCATTCCCATTTCCCACTTTCACCATCCAACACACAGCTTGGCCAGCCCACAGCTCTAGAGAGGGATTGGGACGATGCTGATAGACACAAGGTCACGGGGAGTTGCTGTGCTGACGATTGCTCTTTCTTACAGATCAACACAGATCCCCAGTCCCAAGGGCGCCAGGCAGAATCTGGCCAATATGTAGATTCAAGGCTCTTCCATTTCCTACCGGGAAAGAAAGAGATCTGTGCGTTTCTCTCTCTCCACCTCCAGAAAAAGAGAGGAAGGGGAGAGCGCTAATGAACAGGAGCATGCTCAGCTCAGCCACCGGCATGGAGGCTGCCCGCTCCTCAGCACCTCGAAGCAGCAGCACCTTCAAGTCTCCTCCTGCAGCAGCAGCACATCAGTGTCTCTTGTCCCACCAGCAGGACAGTGGCGTCTCCCATTGCACCATGCCGACCTCCACGCCTCGAGTGCCAGCAGCAGTCCTCAATGCGAGCTGGACGCTCAGGGCACTTGTGGCCACCCACCTTTGTGAGCTCCAAGGCTGACAGGGACTCTCTGCTGAGCTCCCACGGCTCTCAGGCGTCCCGCTGGCAGAGCTTACGGCGCTAAGCTGACTGCCAGGAGAAAAGGCTCCCGTGAAATGGCTGCTCCACAACGCCAGGAGCAAGGTCTGCTGGGCTGGGGGTTCGCAGGGGAGCTCGGCCTTGGGCCTGGCAACTGCGCCTGGGAGCCAGGGATTGCCTTGGCATGCAGCTGGACACCTGCGCCTGAGAAAGCAAGGTCTCTTTCAAGACGCTTGGCACCATCGTCACCCAGTGGCTGTCTCAGGGCGACGAGAGAAATGCACAGCATCTCTTGCTGCCCTGCAGTGCTGCTGTCCTATGCCCTTGGGTGTCTCCGGGATAGAAAAAGGGACGGATTTTGCCCCCAAACCCAGCTCCTTTCTATCAAAAGCATCACGTCCTCCTCTCTTTCTTGGATTTGGCTATGACTTTAGGAATCCCTGCAATCCCTGCAGCTGTGTCCCCTGCCAGCTTCTTGTGTGCCCCAAGCATCCTCGCTTGCAGGACACTAGAAGATGCAGAAAAGGCCTTGCCTTAGTGGAAGCACTGCCCTGCAGGAGCTCCAGCATGCCTCTTAGCAGCACGCTGTAGCCCCCAAATGCCCCCGAAACGGCACATTTCAGCTCCTGGGAAGGAAATGAGCTCGCTCAAGGGGAGCTACCCGCTCAAGGCCCTGCTCTTTGGCCCAGGTGTCTCTGAGGCAGTACTGGAAATGAGTTCTGTTGTGAACGTAAGAACATAACAGAAGAACATAAAATAACATAACATAGAAAAAATAGATAATAACATAACGTATCATAAGAACATAAAACAAGAACAACTATCATAATGTGGTCTGCTAAGATCTAGGAGAAAGCAGAAATCCAGCAATGCCGTGTTTCCTACTCCTCAAAACCAATTCAGCTGACAACTATGAATGCTTCCAGCTGGAAAAAACTGGAAGAATGAAGTGGAGGACTCCTTGCCGTCACTGTGTTTCTGGAGCACACCTCTACCTTTCCGCCCAACAAGGGCGGAAAATTCCCAATTATCTCTTGGGAGATAATTGCAGAACATGAAAAAACATGAGCAAAGCCAGAGGACCCATCTCCACAACAGCACGATAAATAGAAAAGACATCTCTAGATGCAGACCCCAGAGCTCCAGTTCACTATGTCCCGCTATTGGAAGTTATTTTTTAGGCTTTGTTTTTAAGGCCACTGGCTGCCTCCTCCCTTATGCTCCCCATTGTCCCTGTTGTCCTGTCTTTCTCCTGCATTGCTTCCTTTCCTTGCTGGACCTTGCTGAGCTCTTTCATGTTGTGTTGTATATCTATGTATGAAGGCAGGATATCTCATTCTTTTACACTGCTGACTGCTACCCCATATACCTCTGCAAGTTTTCGTACAAGGGATTAAGACAAAAAGGCCTGTGCCTGGCAGTGGGAGCACTGAACGATGATCTAGCAAAGCAGTCTATCCCAGACAGACAACACTGGCCCGGAAATCCTGCTGGAAAATTTGGTGTCCATGAAACTGAGACAGAAATTGGAACTTGCAACAAAACGCTGTAGGGTAGAAGTTGTTTTAGCTGAACATACTGGGCACATCTTTGAATGCAAAAGCTAAGGTCTTGCTTTGCTTACGTAAGGTCTGAGTGTTTCACCCAGCACTCCAGCATCCTCTCTTAAGTAGGGGAGGCAAGCATAAGATGCAGAAGTTGGCAGATGCACAGGATGCGAAGTCCTATCAGTAAAGAATTTCTTCCTAACATATATTAGAAATGTAACTTTTCAGTTGGAAGCTATTACTCCATGTCCTGTCACTCCAGGCCCTGATGAAGACCCCCTCCCCAGCTTTCCTATAGGTTGCCTTTAAGTACAGGAAGGCTCTCCCTGGGGTCACAGTAAGCTCACCTGTTACCCAGGTGTCACAGTTAATTCCTGAGATAGGAATAATGACAAGGGTTAATCTATTGCAGATGATTTCATACAATAAGAGAAAAGCTTTTGTTGGAAAGCACAAGGGAGGGGGGAGGGTGGGCGAACGGCTCTGTGGTGTTTAGCTGCCGGCTGGGTTAAACCACACCAGTGGCTTTCCTTTAGTCGTCACAGTAGACTTGCTGGAGGTCATTTGTGTTGGGCAGTTACCACCAGAAAGCGTCCCCAAGCCAAGTCTGCATTTGCTTGTGTCTTCTGCAATCCCTGCAGCTGTGTCCCCTGCCAGCTTCTTGTGTGCCCCAAGCATCCTCGCTTGCAGGGCAGTAGAAGATGCAGAAAAGGCCTTGCCTTAGTGGAAGCACTGCCCTGCAGGAGCTCCAGCATGCCTCTTAGCAGCACGCTGTAGCCCCCAAATGCCCCCGAAACGGCACATTTCAGCTCCTGGGAAGGAAATGAGCTCGCTCAAGGGGAGCTACCCGCTCAAGGCCCAGGTGTCTGTGAGGCGGTGTTGGCAAGGAGTCCTGTTGTGTGAGTCCGTTCTTTGTGGGTGCTCCGTCCCCACAAGGCTTGCTTTGGAAGGCCCAGGAGAGTCTTGTGGGCACTGGCCTGGGGTCCCAGGCTGAGCCAGCTGCTGCCTGGCAATCAGGGAGGCTCGCTCGGTGTCTTGGCTTGGGTTTGCGTGGCCAGGCTGTGGGAGCGGGGGGCTGCAGGGCTGTCCTCTGTGAGGAGAATGCAGCAGCTGCCCCATGGGAGCTCAGGGCCGCTTCCAGGAGGCTCCTTCCAGGAGGGACCCACCCGCTGCTGCCCAGAACGCAGAGCAAAAGGATGATGTTTGCGCCTGGGGGAGAGCCCATCTAAGAAAGGGAACAAAAGCTGCTGCCCAGCAGCGTCTGGCTCAGGGAGGAGTGGCAAAGCTCTGTGCAGCCCCCAAGGGCCGTGCAGCAGGAGGCCGGAGGTGCTCCAGGCTCCCAGCAGCAGTTCCCCTGCGGCCTGTGCAGGGAGAGGCCCCTGGTGGAGCAGGCTGTCCCCCTGCAGCCCATGGGTCCCCCGTGGAGCAGATCTCCACGCTGCAGCCCCCCTGTGGCTGGAGGAGCCCCCGGTGGAGCAGGTGGCTGTGGCCTGGAGGAGGCCGCGGCCTGTGGAGAGCCCCCGCAGGAGCAGGCCCCGCGCTGGACTGGAACAGGCTGTGCTGAGCCTGCTTTGCCCGTGACGCTCCTTGGGGAGTGATCTCCCTGTCCTTCTGGCAGCCCTTGAGCCCTTTCCAGCCTCTTTTCTCCCCTTGGCGTTGGAGGAGGGGCAGGGAGAGAGCGCTTGTGCTGGAGCTCAGCTGCCCAGCTGAGGAAAACCACCACGCTTTGCTCTCTCTTGCCGCTGCTGCAGCACGCTGGTAGCAGCCAGCAGCGTCTGTTCTTCGAGCCTCAGCAAGCCCACAGCATCTTCCTTGAAGGGATCCCTTTCCTTCACGCCTGCCAGGCGCCGCCTCCAGAGGCTGAGGGCTTGTGCCCCGTTTGCAAGCGCTTGCTCAGTGCCCCCTTCCCCAGAGAAGGATCCCAGCTGCTTGGCTTCCCTGCCCTCTGCTGCCAGGCTCCCGCAGCTGCTATCCCAGCAGCGCAGCAGCCAGCTGACAATGTGCTCGCCTGGAGGACAGCTGCAATCTTGTCCCATGGCTCGCAGCTCGCCCAGGGATGGGGATCACCTGCTTGCTGCTGCTTTGCTCTCTGCTCTCCTTTCCAACAGCCTCCTGTTCCCTGGGATGGCCCTACCTTGGGGGAGCCTGCCTCGCCTTCCTCTTGCTCCTTCCCCTTCTTGGGAGGACTTTCTGCCCTTCCGAAACGAGATGACTTCTGCATGCATTCCTTCCCCTTGTGTGTATTGGCGCCTGAGACAGCAGCGGGGTAGTCCCCGGAGCCAGCTCTTAGGGCCTGTGCCAGGCTTGGAGGGGCTGCAGGGAACATGCCAGGGGCTCGAGGGGCTGCAGGGCGAGTGACAGGGCTTTGAGGGGCCTCAGGTCCCACCGCAGTGGTTGAAGTCGATGCAGGGAACATCAGAGTTGTTGGAGGGGCTGCAGGTACAATCCCAGGGCTTGCAGGGGCTGCAGGCTGCGTCACAGCTTTGCATCAGCTCAAGACGCATTTTCCTAGAACCAGACATTTCCTCCTGAAGGGGCGGAAGAGCATGGAATGGTCTTCCAAATGCAGAGAGCAGACCCCGGCAAACTGTACAGCTGCTGCTAGGAAGTACATAAACTTTTTTTTTTTTTTCTGGTTGTTAACATTGTTTCACAACAACAGATGCAAAGATGGATCTTGAGCTGAGGGCAAAGGTGACCTTGGATCTGAAGCACACAGGCATTCGCTAATGTCCCCCCATCCTGAGTGAATGCGCAACGACTCGGAAGGAAAAATAAAGTCCAAACCAGTGCGTTGTGATAAGGAGAGTTTAATAGGGTAGAAAAGGAAGAGAAACAAACAAAATGATAAATAATGATATGTACAATTTATAATATATCAATATATAAAAATATTTAATACTATTAAATACGAATACTTATAATTTTATAATAAGAAAACAATGCCATACTGTACAACACAGTCAATAAAGTGGATTTAATGAAATAAATAATAAAACCAACAAATTAAATGAAAATTAACAAATTTAAATTTAATAAAAATAAAACCCATTTTTCCCATAACAATGAATTCCTATCCCCATCATCACTTCCCATCCCACTGATCATTTCCTATCCCAGCCACCTCCCATTGCTGCTCCCAAGGCTCAATTCCCAACTCCCATTCTTCCATCCATCCATCCATCCATCCATCCATCCATCCATCCATCCATCCATCCATCCATCTTCTGCCGTCCGTGCTGGCCATGCCCACATCCATGCACGGCCTGAGCATGGGCAGCGGGAGCGGGCTGCATGAAATCCCCTTGGCATCGCAGTGCAAGAAGAGCTGCAGGCAGAGGCCTTGCTGAGTGACCACGTAAGGAGAGGAATTTAATCCAGAAGGCAGGAAAGAAGAGCAATGCCCTGAAAGAAGAACCAAGTCTTGTCTCTCAGCCCTTTGGTGTCCCAAGCAGCAGTTGCCATGGGCAAGCTTTCCCAGCCCAGCCGCTGCCAGCATCTCCCCAGCTTCCCATTGCCACCTTCCTCGGTGAGCCACGCATTTTCCATTGCCCCCGTTGCCCATCCCTGAGAGTGGCAAGCTCATCCCCTAGCTCCAGCACGAGAGAGGGGAGAGGGCAAGCGAGAGGGGCAAGGGCTGAGGAGCGTGGCTGAAGCTGGAGCAGGTGCCTGCAGAGGTCTCTGTGCCTGCCTGGGTGCTGCAGGGGCCGTCGAGGAGAAGCCCGAGGTCGGTCACGGGTAGCCGTAAGAGTAGGCTCTGGCGTGGTCCTTCTGCCGCTGCACGAAGAATTGCACGGGGCCGATCTTCATCTGGTGGGCCGCCCGCTGCCGCTCCTCCTGGGCCAGCTTCTTCAGGCGCTCCCGCTCGGGACGCTGCTGCGGCGTGATGGGCACCGACTCCTCCAGCGTCTTGGCCCCGCTGGCCTGGGGACAGAGCCTGTCCTGGGGCCGCACGGCACGGGGCTCCCCACTCGGAGTCTCCGGCAGCAGCCGCGCTCTGCGGGGAGCTGGTGCCGCTGCTCCTTGCCCCCCTGCAGCCCCCGGGCTTCGCGCTCTCTTCACCGGTGCCGTGGTGCTGTTGATCGCCAGCTGCTGCCCGCTGCTGCCTGCTTCCCTGCTGCTGCCAGCCACCGTGCTGCTGCCACGCGTCTTCCCCTGGCACGGTCTCTTGCGGCCTTGGCCAGCCTGGCCCAGCAGCATCTTCCTCTCCTTGCGGGGGGGGTTCTCTGTCGTCGGCCTCCTGTGCTGGCAGCTCTGCGCTGTCCCGGGGGTGCTGCTGGGCGCGGGGCGCTTGGCCCCCCGCTCGGTGCCGGTGGACGCAGGGGCAGCCAGGGGGCTCTTGAGGGGACCCAGGGGGCGTTTGGGCAGGGGTCTCCTATGGTCACTGCGGCCCTTGGGGTTGGGGCGTTTCTTGGGGGAACTCGGGGGGGATTTGGGCTGGGCTCTCCTAAGGGCACTGGGGACCTTGGGGTTGGGGCGGGTCTTGAGGGAACGCTGGGGGGGTTGGGGCAGGGCTCTACTAAGGGCACTGAGGACCTGGGTGTCAGGGAGGCTCCTGGGGGGACTCAGGGGTGGACTGGGTAGGGGGCTCCTAAGCGCACTGGGCAGGGGACTGGCTGCAGGGCTGAGGGGGGGGCTCACTGCTGGCACGACGGGGGACTGCAGCGACAGCCCACCCTCAAGCTTCTCGGGGCGCACCCCAGGGCTTGAGGGGACCTCACCGAGGGCTCCTGTGGCTTCCAGTCCCTGCGTGCTCGGCTCCTCGATGTCCTCGCAGAGGTCGGGCAGCTGGGAGAGGAAGCGGCTGAGGGCAGGACTGCTGGGCAAATCGGGGAAGGCGTCCTGGGGCTCCACGGCATCGAGCCAGCTGAGCAGCTCCTCCATGTCGGGGATGGGGATGTCCAGGTGGGCCAGGAGCTCGTCCTGCACGTGCTGCAGCTGCTGGCTGTCCCCTGCCAGCTCTGGAAAGGCCTCGGCCAAGGCATCGGGGCCCAGCTCGGGCAGCTGCGGGGGCTCCTCAGGCACCTGCGGGGCTGTCGCCGCTGAGGACCAAGCAAGCAAATCCCCCAAGACGGGCGATGTCAGCTTTCCCGTGGCCCCTGGGTGTGGGGCCACAAGCGGCCGGCTGTGCCAGCCCCAAACTCACCGTCGGGCGTCGCCGTCTGGGTGCTGGCGGTCCTTGGAGCCTGGGCAGGCTCGGGGGGAGTGGGGCCGGGCAGCGGGGGCCCCTGGTCCTCGCTGAGCCCCACGGCGTGCAAGCAGGGCTCCGGCAGCTGCCCCCGGCTGCTGCTCAGGGTGCGGGGCGTGGGGAGCGCCTGCCCCCGCAGCGGAGGCCCCGGGACGAGGGGTGGCGGGGGGTTGCGCTGGGCGGGGGCCTGCAACAGGCAGGTGCCTGCGGGGTGCAGGAGCTCCCCATGGAGCACGGCCCTGGGCCCCAGCCCCAGCGCATGGTGGGGCACCAGTGTCCCCGTCACCATGGGCTGTCCCCACTGATGGACGGGGGCACAGGGAGGAGCGGTGTGGGGGAGCTGCCCCACGGCGGGGAGCTGCACCAGCTGCAGCTGGTGCCCCATGGTTGGGAGCTGCACCAGCTGCAGGTTTTGCCCCACAGCGGGGAGCTGCCCCCCAGCAGGGAGCTGCCCCACGGCGGGGAGCTGCCCAAGCTGCAGGTGGTGCCCCTGGGCTGGGAGGTGCCCCCCAGGTGGCAGCTGCACCCCGGCGGGGAGCTGCAGCACCTGCCCCTGGACCCCCGGCACCACGTGCCAGACGGTGGCCTGGGGCAGCGCGGAGGGGAGGGTGGGTACCTGCAGGGGCTGCAAGGGCAGCGCCGTCGCTCCGGGGAGGGAGGGCAGCAGCCAGGCAGCCACCGTTGGCGGCACGGCTGGGACGACGAAGGGGGAGTTTTGCGTCTGCGCAAGCCGCAGAAGCCGTCTGGGGAAACCCTCTGTGGGAAAAAGGGCGCTGGGCTGAGCTCTGGGGCGCTGGGCTCGCCAGCAGGGCCGCAGCCCCGGGAGGAGCGGGAGCCGGCTGCTGGACCTGCCATGGTGGCTGGAGAGTGGGGCGGTTGCTTGGGGAACCCGCGCAACGGCCGTTCCGTCCCAACGGCTGACCAGCCCCTCGCCGACATCTTGGGGAGGACTGCAGGCTTTGGAGCCAAGCAGGCTGCCCAGCGCAAGACTTGGCCATCCCCAGCAGGCTTGCCCTCCCACGCAGCACTTGCCATGCCCACCACGCTTCCACACCGCCTCTTGCCCGTCCTGAGCATTTCCCAGCCCAGGACCAGCTTTCATCCTCATGGTCATTTCCCATCCTGACAAGCTCACAAGATAACAGATTCCCATACAAAAGATTTCCCATCAACACAAGCAGATTTTTCCCTTCATCCAAAGAGATCTCGTCCCAAAGAATTCCCCTCTCTTGGAGGACTTTTCCAAGTATTTCCTTCCCCAGGGAACTGGAGGGGAGCTCGGCCTTCAGCCTGGGAACTGAGCCGCTAAGTACCTTTCTTCCACTTCTAATTAATTAGTGCTATGCTCTCAATATCTGCTCCACAGGTATATCTTTCCTACCTGGTACAATCTAAAAGAGCTCAAATGTCCATACATCTCCTTCCCTCAGTCCTCACAGCAGGCTTGCTCATGGTAATTTCTGTTGAGCAGGACGTGACAAAACCCTCACAAGAGGCTGGAAAGTGTAGCTCTGAGGTGAGAAACCCTGCCCAAGCACAGGGTTTACCCCATAAATATGTGAAGAGAAAGTAAATGGACACTTTTCTGCCCCACATGCAGACAGGTTGTTAACGCTGTTGCTGCATGCAGTGACTTTGGGTGGCCCCAGCTGCCTCCTCTTTTATTCCCAAGTGGTGGTGTCACAGCTAAAGAGAAAGAAAAAAAAGAAAAGAAAAAATATATACAGCTTTTAATGGCAATGGACAACACTGAGTTATTTAAAATAAAAACACAATGGGAAAAACACAACTGGCAGGAACAAACCAAATCGAACGCAACAAAAAAACAACAGCTCCAGGAAACCACGTGCGTGTGACCCCCTCTTTCGACAGGGCAGGGGGAGCAGACCCAATCTCGCTATAAATAACCCCAAAATCGTTTCACGGGGGGAAGCTGGGAGCCCGTCTCTGAGCCATCAGCAGGTGCGGGAGGCGGTGCTGCTCAGCAGCGGGGCCGTTCCTCGCGGGTCGCAGAGTGAACCCAGCATCAGGCGATGAAATCCAGCGGTCTGTTGAAGCCTCCTTTCCTGTTCATGTACTGCCTGCGGTGGGAGGAAGGGAAACAACATCAGGAACCGAGCTGGGAGCACCAAAACCCCCGGGGGCTCCCAGCTCTGATCCACTGGCAGCTTTCCAGCGCAGAAAACACCTGACAGGGGTTGTGACAGCACAGAGAAGCCACAGGGAATTCAATTCCCCACCCATTTGTGCAAACGAAGGCACAAAAAAAGCTCTGCCCGACCTTGCTGAGACCCAACGTGTTCAACTGGGGGCTGAAGCCTGGCCCTGCACCTTCTGGAGACTCCGTACCCTGGCTGCCTTGCAGATAACAGGGTTAACGGAGTTAATGGGGTTATTTAGTCAAAGAAGCAGGGGAGCCGAGCTCTGCCCTGCTCTAGCTGCCTCCAGCATGTCCTGTTCTTGTGCCACGTGCTTGTGCGCTCTGTATCTTTCCGTTTTTGTGATTTTAGTGATCAATGTGAGACCTCTTACTTCTGCCAGCCAAAATGTTTGCCTTTACTGAAGGCAAAAGAAGCCAGATCACCCCCTGCTCATGCCTACAGACAGCAGCTTGGATTTAAGCTTCCTCTGAACTGCTTTACCTCGTAAACAAGGTTAGTTTTTATCAGAAAAGCGTGGCAATTCGGTGCAGTTGCCACAGCACAGCGAGCCTCCCAGCGTGCTGAGACACAAACCTGTACTTCCTCTTCTGTGACACGTTGATGGCGTACGCGTTCGCAGCACCGTCGACTTTCTTCCCCTGAAAGAGAAGGGAAATGGTCAAAAACCGAGTGCGCCACCTGGAGCCTACCAGGGAAAGGGACAGCACGCGCACAGGAGGGATGAGGGCAGTTAACACAGAACAAGTTTTAAAAAAAAAACATCAGTGCCAGAGCTCTGGGCTGTGAAGGGCAAGCCCCACACACAGTTTGGGTGTTCTGACAGCAGGGGCTCGTGCTTGGGTGTACAAACATCACAGGAATGAGCCCGGTGCTCCAGCTGATCCCAGCCTGCACTCACTTTTGTCGTGTCAAACGAGGCAAATCCCATCATTTTCATCATCTCGATTTCCTCTTCTGTCTTGCCTTGCAAATCTTCCTCTGAAAAGGCAACGAGTTATCAGAGTTCACCTCCTGCAGCCATAAGAATCAACCAGGAATAAAGAATATTTCTGTGCTGGCCGCAATCTAACAGAGCCAGGGGTGAGCTAACACACCAGAACCCTGCCTTTTTACCCGTGATCTGGCGCTCCTTGCCCTTGGAGTCCTTTATCTCCTTCTTCTCCTCATCTCGCCTCTCCTTCAGCCGCGGCGGGGAGGAGGAGCTGGATCTGTGCCGCCTCGGCGACCTGACGTTGGAACACACACAGGGCTCAGCTCCACGGCTGCAAGAAGGTTCAGGGAACATCCCTGCACCACGCTCCGCTCCCTCCCAGCAGTGACGCCGGCACCAAGAACCTCTCCCCTCCGTTTTTTGCCCTTCTTCCCCCCTCCCCCATTTTCTCTCCCTCACCTGGACCGTCTCCTGTGTGGGGACCGAGACCGGCTCCTCCTCCTGTCCCTGTCCCGGGACCGCGACCTCTCCCTCCTCCTCCTCTCCCTCTCCCTCGAAGTGGACCGCGAGCGCCTGCGGTCTGCGGGGAGGCACAGCAAGAGAAAGGCGACTCCCCTTCACCCCTGCACCGTCACCGAGCTTCTCTCCTTAATTCCCAGCCACAACCCCCCCCCAAAGACCCCATAAAGCTCCCCAAATCCTGCAACCCCCCAACCAACCCCCCTTTGCCCCCTGAAGACCCTCCTAAATCCCCCCAACCCCCCTTAAACTCCCCCAAAGTCCCCCCAGACCACCCCCTAAAACTCCCCAGGCCCCTCCTAACCCCCTGATCCCCCCATAACCCCTCCAGACCCCCCCCCCCAGATCCCCGCAAGCCCCCACAAATCCCCATAACCCCTTCACACACACACACAGACCCCCAGACAGCAGCACCCCCTGCCCACACCGAGCCCCTCACCACCTCCAGGCACTGCACCCGCACCCCAGGCCCCCACGCGGGCTCAGGGGGCTCAGAGGGGCTCAGGGGGGCTCAGAGGGGCTCAGAGGCCCCGCCCGGTCCCACCGGCGCCCCCCGGGCCCGTTCCCCGCAGCAGGCCCCATAGGGACGGGCCCTGCACCCCCTTCACTCCCAGCCCCCAGAGGCCTCTGCCGTCCCCGCCGCCTCTCCCCACGCCCCCAGGGCCTCCCCCCGGTGCCGGTGCCGGTCCCGTTCCCGGTGCCTTCCCCTCACCGCGCCGCGGAGGCGAACGGGAGCGGCTGCGGCCCATGGCGCCGCCCGGCGGGCCTTCACTTCCGCCCGCACTTCCCTTGGCTTCCGCTGTCCGCCGCGTTCCGTGTCCTCCCCGGCTCCGTCAGGAAACGGCGCCCGCACGCTTTGGTTCCGCCGCCAACACTGGTCCGGGGGGGTGTTAAACACCCCCAACCCGGCCTCGGCGAGCCCCGCTCGGCCTCCAGAGGCGGAGGGTGCGGGGCCAGGCCCGCAGCGAGGCTGGGACCTCCTCCCCAAACCCATCCCGGGAAGCCGTGTCCCCCGCCCCATCCCATGGCCATGGGGCACCATGGCGTCCCTGCTCCCGTCCCCGAAAACGCAGCGCAGCGGGTGCCGAACTCGGGTTTATTTACAGGCAGGTGTTACACAGCGCAACCAGCACGGGCCGGCACCCACCGGCCTCCTCCCTCGGCCACCAACCCCCCACGGCACCGGCGTGGGCCCCACCGAGCCTTTGGGCGTCTTCCAGTGCTTGGCCATGGCCGTGCTCCGAGGCCTCGGTGAAGCACGGGAGGTTTCATTGCTGTGTGAGGGTGAACTTCTTTAGGGCTCAGGCTGCCCAGAGAGGTTGTGGGGTCTCCTTCTTTAGAGATATTCAAAATCCACCTGGTTGCCAGCCTGTGTAACGTGCCCCAAGTGATCCTGCAGGCAGGGGGTTGGGCTGGGCGGTCTCTGGAGGTCCCTTCCCACCTCAACCATCCCAGGATCCTATAGTTTACAGCTTTCTCTGCTTCCAGGCTGCTCCCTGCACCTTGGCAGGGGATGGCGGCTCTCTACCTACAGCCGGGATAGTGCCCTGAAAACAAGCCACCACATTTTGAACCCTGGTACTGCCCAGGCTGGCTTCGCCCAAGGGGTAAGAAGAAAGCAGTGAGGCAAAGGGGGCAAAATGGGAAGAGAGTAGGAGGCCTTGGCAGGCAGGGGAGCTGTAACACTGCTGTGATCCTGTAATAAAGGATCCTGTGACCCTCTCTAATAGCTAAGCAGTGAGGCCACTCATTGCGTTGCCAGCCCTCCAAGCCTTTCTCCTCGCTTACCTACACGTGGGTTTCACTGCACGCGATGTCCAAAGTGCCCCGGGTTTCACCACACAGCCGTGGGGTCCATGGTGGGCAGTGAGGCAGTGTTGGGATTTGGGAACCACCCCAGGACCCTTGAAATCATCAGCGGTAAACTACATCTTACAGGAACGGTTACAGAGTGGGGCCTGGGGTTTACACGTCAAAGTCTACTTACTATACACTATGTATTGATCACAGGCAAGAGCACGGGGCTGGGATTCACACCATCCTTCTCAGACATCAAATTTAGGCGTTCAGGCTCCCCCAGGAGACAGAGGAGCCTCAGCTCTAGCACCAGCACTGCAGCTTGGTGCTGGCAGGGCAAATGCTCTCCCAAGCTCCAAAATCCAGGTTTGGATCTGCCCTGGAGCTCCAAGTTTTGGGGAGAGAAGGTTGTGTGAGGTTTGTATTTTTGCACTTGACTTTTCCACTCAGAATTTGCCTGGCACACCCCAAACTACGGCCCTGCAAAGAAAACCAACCACTGCTTACAAATTTCCTGCACTTGATCCCAGTTGCCTGCTCCAGCCCCACTCCATGCCTGAGGTGTTCCCGAGTGCCCCCAAAAATCCACCTCACCCACGACTGCCTTTCTGCTCTTCCAGAGGGGACACAAAAACCAAAAGCCGCCTTGCAGCAGCGAGAAGGCTTTGAAAACATGGTGTTGGGAAAACCACAGGGGGGTGAACGGTGGTTGGAAAGGCCCGAGGCTGGGGCTGTGGACGGGAGCCCCAGCCCCACAGGAGCCCCATGGCAAACCCCTGTGGCTCGTGATGGGACACAGGCTGGCTTTGTTCCCTAAATTCCCTGCATCACTGCTTTTTCTTCTTCCCTTGGGGCATGGCCAGGAGGTTGTAAGGACAGTCGTGGTCACAGGCAGCGAGGCTGGGCGGGAAGGAAACACCAGGGAGGGTTTCAGCTTGTGCTTGGGAGTCCGGAGCTAGGGAAAAGCAGCGGTTCGGCTTCAGACGTGACTCTCGTGCTCTCTACGTGGACAGGCACTCGCCGACGGGGCCGACACGGGCACAGCCTCGTACGTGGGTCAGCATCGCTGTGACTTGGTGCGGGGGGACCAGGGCGGCCGCCTCGACGGTGCCTCTGACAGAAGTGAATCGGCAGCGTGTGTTCATCCCAAAGTAGCACTTAGTGAGTGAAGTTTGCTCAGTTTTAAATAACAATGGGCGCTTCCCCGAGGCTCTTTTTTCTTCTCTGTTCTCAGGTGTGTTGCGGTGGGGGATTCCCCAGCGCTGTGAAATCTCGCTGCTCTTCACCAGGCAGCAGATGTGTGAGACCGTGGCACCAGGAGAAGGGGACTGGAGGCAGCTCTTGAGTCGGGGAGGGGGGGGGAGATTGCAATCCAGGAAGGAAAGGGCCCCAGCCCCACCACCTCGGCCTCTCCTTCAGGGAGAGCAATCCTCCGGCATCCTGCTCGATCACCCCGGCAGAGAGTTGTGCCGTGGGCGAAGCCAGCGCCAATCCAGCGGAGCTTGAAACAAAAGGTTAACAATAATAATTTAAAAACAAAACAAAAAACGACGACAACACCCTTTTCTTTCTCAAAACCAAGCGTATCCGGGCTGCGCCCTGCGTTGCACAGAGGCTCTACAAGCAGCGGTGGGAAAAAACAAACCCCGTGCCCAGGAGGGAGGAGGGAGCGCTCGTGGGAGCGGGGAGATGGCAGTGGGTATTTCCCCAAGCAGCAAACGGAGGCCACAATCTTTTGAAAGCTCAGTGGCTGCCTCCGAAGTGGGTGTCGGGGGACGAGGGGCCTTGTGCCGGGAGTACCCCGGGAGCCTCCAGGGTTTTTGGCTGCGCCTCGGCCAGACGCATGACGCAGGAGCCGACCAGAGAGATGCTCAGCCACGCCGGCAGTGGGAAGCCTCAGAGAAGACTCAAGATTCGATCTTTTCCTTCTTTTTGCCCTTTTTCAGGAAAGACGGGGTCCGGAATTTCTTCTTCTTCTTGGAGGGCGATTTGGATGGAGAGCCCTCGGGGGAGACGGGGCTGCTGGTCACCGTCTCGCTCTTCTCCTTGGGGGCGTCCGTGTCGGGGTTGGCCGGGGTGGTTGTCTGGTCCCCCCCTTTACCCTGGCTTTCCTCAGTGCTCTGCTCCTCCTCCTTCCCATTCACCGCTGGCGGTGGCTCCTTCTCGGTGGTGGAGTCGGCAGGAGCTTGGCCGTCCTCCACCTTCTTGTCACCTTGGCAAGGGGAAAGGGAGAGGTGAGGGCCAGGGCAGCACTGCTCAACACCACAGAGAGCTATTGAGGCTGGAAGCCAACTTTAAACCCAGCCTTTACCCCAGGCAAGAGCAGTTTCCCTGATCCCCTCCTGCTATCGGCACCACTTCCCTGAGCCTTTCCCCCCCGCGGGACAAGCGGCAGCAGGACGGAGAGCTGGGGCAGAGCTGAGCCTTCCTTCCCGGCCTCGCTGCTACACATAAAAGCGGGCAGCAACCAAAAAAAAATGAGGCAACCCAAGGCATTTCCTCCTGCAGACCCTGAGCGGGGCGCTGCGGAACGGGCCGCGGAGAGCAAGGTCCCCCCCCCGAGCGAGCGGGGAGCGCGGCGAGGCGCGAGGCCTCCCCGTACTTACTACGGCGACAAGCACTCAGGGGCAGAGGTAACTCCTTGGGTGAAAGCGACACGTGGAGGGAAGAGAAAGGAAGACGTTGCGGACACGGACAGACAGACAGACACCATGAGACACAATGAGACAGCCAGGAGCCGCCCGCCCCCGCGCCCCGACCCACGGAAAAACCGACGTGCGCTGCGATGCCAAAATGCTGCTGGGGTCGGTGCTTTAGGGGGGGAGCAGGGGGTGTCCCCGACCACCCCACGAAGCCACCAGCAGCCACTGAAATCCTCCGGCCGTGGTGCTAAAGGGACATGGGGGGTCTGGTGCCTTCACGGCACACGTCCCCCCCAAGCACAGAGACATTATCTGCGTCTCGGGGAGGTTCTGCTGCAGTCCCCCCTTATCCCCCTGGATGAAGACCCCCTGCTCCTCTCCGCTGGGCTTGCGGGTGTTCCCCACCCCACTCACCCTCCGAGGGCTTGGTGGGCGACGGGGCCGGGCTTTTGGCCGGGCTCTGCGGTGCGGACGCCGGGGGTGATTTTTGGGGGGATCCCTGGCTTTCCTCCACCGCCGCATCCTTCTCGCCTGCAAGCAGACAGACAGACTTGCCATCCACCTGGTCTGATGGCTGCAGACCCCAAAAGGGGCTTTGGGATCCGTGCAGCCCCCGTTCCCCTCCCTGGCTCGTACCTTGCAGCCCCAACTTCTTCCTCTCCACCTCTTGCTTGTACTCCTCCAGCTCCTGGTCCGTGAGCTGGCTGAAGGGGTTCGGGGGCTCCGGCTCAGCTGGGGGCTCCTCTTGGGATGCATCTTTGGCCTCCGCATCCCCCAAGTGGCTCTCTGTGGACTGAACCCCCCCGAGAGTGGTGTCACCCCCCTGGCACGGGGAGGGACCCGGGGCGATGGGGACGAGGGCAGCGGGGACGTACGGGGCTGCGGCTCGTCTCGGCGATCACGCTGGCCAGCAGCTGCGACTGGGGCCCGGCCGACTTCACGTCCTGACGGTTTTGCTCCCGAATCTGTGGACAAGAAGCAGAGAGAGATAGGGAAACGCTGCCCCGCCACAGCCCCACACCCAGGGAAGTCGGAGCCCCCCCCGCGTACCTTGTTCCTCATCTCCAGCACCTCCTGTGGGTCCGTGTAGAGGGGCACGAACTGGTTGGGGTTCTCGATGCGGATCGCGGTCCCGCTGCTGCCTTTCTCCACCTCGTCTGCTTTCAGCCACTGCAGAGATGGAAAACCTCGATAAATGTGTGGTGTGGTAAGAGCAAACCCCAATAAATGGGTGTCATGGAGGAGAAACCCTGATAAACGCATGGCATGATGACAGTAAACCTCAATAAATGCGTATCATGGAGGGGAAACATTTATCAATGCATGGTATCAAGAGAGTAAACCCTAATAAATGCTCGTTGTGGAGAGGAAACCCTGATAAGTGCATGGTATGGAGAGAGCAAACCCCAATAAATGCATGTCATGGAGAGGAAACCTTGATAAATGCGTGGCATGAGGAGAATAAACACCAATAAATGCAGGTTGTGGAGAGGAAACATTGATAAAATGTGTGGTTTGGAGAGAGCAAGCCCCGATAAATGCATGCTGTGGAGAGCAAACCCAAAAAAAGCCCCTGCCAAAAAAGCCCCTGGCACTGGCTGCTGGAGGTGGACTTTTAAAACAAAAATTGCTCTGGGGCAAATGAAGGAGTTAACCCAAATCATTACATTCAGCACTTCCCACTCCTGGAGGACCCCTAGGGGTTCAAGTGCACCAAATTTCGATGCAATCCCTGCTCCGAGCACCTCCCACCTTCCTTTTTTTTTCCGTGCCCCCCCCCCGTTCCCAAACAACCCCCAGCCCCACACCGTCGTCTTCGTCCTCTGGCTGCCAGCGCTGCCCTGCTGCTCCTCGGCCACGTTGACCCGCAGGTAGGTGTTGGGGGTGTTGAGCCACCGCGTCTTCTCCTTCTGCTGCTTCTGCGCGTGCTGCCGCAGCGCGGGGACGGGGGCGGCCTCCTCCTCGAAGACGAAGGCCGTCACCGTGGCGGGGATCAGCACGTCGCTTTTGGGTTTGCTCTTCTCCTGCACGAAGGGGTAGCGGTAGGTGTAGCCGGTGCGGTAACCCTGCGAAGCAAAACGGTGTCAAAGGAGGTGTTTTTGGGGGGGATTTAAGCCATTTTTGCTGGTGGGGGGGGGGCAGGATGCTCACCAGGTTGTCCAGCATCCTCATGAGGGCTTCGAATTCGTGCTCGCCCAAGCGGCTCTTCTGCATGGGCCCGAAGGTGCTGCCTGCCCAGCGCACCGAGCCCACCTCGTGGGGCCGGTGCTTGGCGCGCTCCAGCACGATGAGGTTCTCCGCTCCCCCCGCGCTCGCCAGCGCCGACACCTGCGGGGGGGGGACACGGGGAGAGGCTGCAGGGAGCACAGCACTGAGCGCATCCACGGGATGGGACTGGGTGATGGTGGCTGAGACCGTGCACAGCTCGGTGCATGGACCAAGGGCATTGCACCGGTGACAGGGACATGGCACAGCTCCGTGCACGGTGCCCAGGGCCCTGCAGCAGCAGCAGGGCTGTGCCCAGCTCTGTGCCCCCCCCCAGGGGCCATCTCTCACCTGCACCTCGCAGGCTGCCTGCAGGTGGAAGATGCTGTAGAAAGCCTCCTCGGCGGTGTCACCCAGCGCCAGCACCCCGTGGTTGCGCAGCACCAGGATCTGCAGCACCAGGCACAGGGGGCATCAGCAGAGCGGCAGGGGGCGGGGAAGGGATCCCCCCCCAAAAACAAACAAACAAACAAGCAACAAACCCACCTTGCAGGTGGGGCCGAGGCACTTCTGCAGCTCAACCCGGTCGGCCTCGTCCTCCACCTCCCCACGGAAGTCGAAGTAGGCGATGTCCCCCAGGAGCAGGGCGGCACGGGAGATGGGCAGCACGCCGCAGCGCATGGCCGACACCTGGGGGCACAGCGGGCATGGCACGGCACAGCACGGCACAAAATGGCATGCAAAAACATGGCACCGTGCCCCCAGACCCCCCCTTACCGCCGCGGTGGCCGGCGTGTGCAGGCGGACGATGCAGCGAGTGTCGGGGCGGGCGGCGTAGATGGCAGCGTGCAAGCTGAAGGCACGGGCGTCGGGGGCGAAGCCGGTGTTGCCCTGCTCCACCACGTCCCCCAGCACGTTCACCTTGATCTGCAGTGGGGAGACGGTGGCTCAGAGCCTGTCACGTCCCTGTCCCCACCCTGAACCCACCCCCGGGGAGCTGGGGACACGCTCACCAGGCTGGCTGCCGTCACCTCGCTGCACGCCAGCCCCTGCGGGGCCACCAAGAAATGCTCCTGCTCCTTGCTCACCCGCAGCTGCACAGGGAAAAGAAAGGAACGCAGGGAAATAAAGTTAAAAACAATAATAAAGAGGGGTGTATTTTGCACGGGGAGGTGGGCGCTCACCGTGACGGAGGCGTCCCCCAGCTGCGCCCAGCCGTAGAGGTCAAGCAGGCGATGGATGCTGCTCACTTTGCAGCGCATCAGCCGCTCGCCCTTGGCCAGGGCCGGCGCATCGGGGCCATGCAGGTCGTTGATGGGTGTCACGGAGGCCAGCCCTGGGCAAGGACAGCAGGTGACAACAAGGGGACAATGTCATTTGTGTTTTTTTCCCCAACCCCTAGCACCATTTCCCAGCTTTTCTACAAGAAAAGACGACCATTAGGGAGCGTTTTCTTCGCTGAAATCCCACAAACCAAATAAAAACCTTCAAGAACACCAAATGGATTTCATTTAAAAAAAATAAAAAAATAATAATAATAATAAAAAAACTTCCTGCCCCCCTGCCCCACATGCAGCCATACCTATGGGTGAGGTGGGGAGGACGGCGGGGGACGTGGTGGCCATGAAGTCGGCGATCTGCCGCAGGGCCCAGACGTGGGACGAGTTGTTCCCCTTCTTCATCTGCTCCTGGATGAGGCTCTCCAGCTCCTCCCTAAAAGACTGCAGTACCCCGGCCCCCCCGGCGTCACAGTCCCCAGGGGAAGGGACACCAGTGCCCGAAACGGAACCGGCTGGTGGCACCGGGGTGGGGACACCACCGGGTGGGTGGTGGCAGTGCCATGGGCGTGGTGGAAGTGGTGCCACCGGCACGGTGGCATGGTGACGGTGGCACCAAGGGTTTGGTGCCATGGTGACGGTGACACCATGGGCTTGGTGGCCATGGCACCAGCAGCTCCGTGCCACAACGGTGGTGGCACCACCAGCTTGGCAGGGGCACCATGGAGACGGTGGCACCACCAGCTTGGTGGCACGGTGCCACCAGCCCCACAGGCTCGGTGACAGCAACGTCACCACCGTGGTGGCACCAGCAGAAGGGTGGGGACGTGCCCTGAGCCATCACGGGGTGGCTGTCGCTTTGGGGAAGGGGGGACAGGGACAGGATGGGGGGGGGGGACGGATGGGGACAGGGCCACCCACCGGGCTCTGTAGGATCATGGTGACCCGCTTCTTCTGCTCCATCATGTTGAAGTCCTGCCGCAGGTCGGCTGCCATGTTGCGCTCCCGCAGGAATTCGGGGTCCCCCTCGGCAAAACGGTCGAAATATCGGGGTCCCGGGGCGGGGGGCGAGGGCAGGGGCTCGGGGCTGGCGGCCGTGCTCATTCTGGCGGCCCTGCGGAGGGTTTTGGGTTCCCAATCCCCACCCAAATCACCCCCACACCCCAACCCCACATCCCCCCCCCCCCAAAAAAAAAAAAAAGCTTCCCCGTGGCGAGTGCTTCCCAAAACAGGGGCCGTGAAGAAATGGGGTGAGAACAGCCCCGCCTGCGCCCCGCTGATAAGCCCTGGGTGGCCCCCGCCCTGCCGGCACCGCACTGGGCCCTCGATGTGACAGGGACACCGGGGGGGGGGGGGGCGGCTGAGCAGGGGCAGCTCAGTGCACCCATGGGTGCCACGGCACCAAACGGAGCCCCCAAGCCCCCGCAGCATCCACCCTTTTATTTTATTTATTTATTTATATATATATATATTTTTTAGAGGAAGACACAAAAAAAGGGGAGACGGCAGCAGGTGGGTGACCACAGAGCCCCCCCCCCCCCAGCACCTCGCTGCCGTGTTTTAAAGGAGATATTTTGGCACCCACGCACCCCCCCACCCCCTGAAATAAAATAAAATAACACAAAAGCATCGCCCACACCAAGCATCAACGCGTGCCTGCTGCCCAAAGCCATGCTGCTGCGTGCACCCCCAAATCCTAGGGGGGGGCTGCTCTTCCCCCACCCCTAAATCCCCATTTTTTGGGGCATTATTCCCCAAAAAAGATGTTTTTAGCCGAGCCCGCTGCCCCCACAGAACCCCCCCACGCCACCAACCTGCAGCAAACCTCCTCCAGGAGCCGCTCCTAGGCTGAAAATCCCGGGGGGGGCCCTCGGTGGCCCCCACCCCAACGCAGAGTTGGGGGGTGGGGGGGTGGCGAGCGGCAGCTCCAAGCTCCTGGGTCCCCCCAAAATCCTCCTGGGCATCCACGCGCGATCGTGGCCGCTGGGTGGGAGGGGGCAGAAGCGCATCATTTGCTATGGAGGGGGGGGGAGAATGGGGCTGGGCCCCCCCCGCAGCATCGCCCCCGCCCGCGCCGCACCCAGCGCCGCTGCGGCAGCCGCAGAGCCCTGCGCTGGGGATGGAGGATGGGGGGGGGGGGGGGGTGGAAAATGGGTGATTCCCGGGGGGGGGCACAGCCCTGTAACCCCCCCATCATCACCAGGGGATGGATGGGGATGGGGGGGGCACCCCACCAGGTTGTGCAGGAGGATGGGGGTTGGGGGGGGGGGGGGCAGGCCTGCATCCCCCCCCCTTGTTGTATCCGCCAGCATCCAGACAAAAGAAATGAGAAAATTGGGGGGGGGGGGGGGGGGGGGAAGGGCGAGGCAAACGCAGGTGCCCCCCCCCCCATAGCAGGTGGACCCCCCCAACACCGCTGCTTCCCCCCACCCCCTAATTAGGGCCCAAATCCCCCCTCCCACAGCATCCCCCCCAGCGACCCCCCCCCTTCCCATTCCTCGGGGGGGGGGGGATCCAAGCAGGTGTACGCCCCCCCACACCTCAAATCCCTCCCCCCCCATACCCCAAACCCGGGATGCAGGGGGCTGCAGCGCCTCACCCAGCTCCTCACAGCATCCTCCCACGGGTGACAGCCCCGGGTGGGGGGGGTCCCGTCCCCCCCCCCGCGCCCCCGGTCCCCTCTCGCCAGCCACCAGCGCTGACAAAGGCCACCTCCCTGCGCCAGCCGAGCTCCCTCTGCTGCCACAACCCCAAAATGGCCCTGGGGAAGGAGGGTGGGGGGGGGGAGGACACCTGGAGGGGGGAGGACCCACGCAGGAAAATTCAATTTTTGCAATAAAACAGCCAAGGGGGGGGTGGGGTGGGGCAGGGAGACAAAGCCAGGCTTCTGCCACCCCAAAAAAATCAGGATTTATTTTGGGGATTAATTAGGGGTGGGGTTAATGAGCCCTGCTACCTGAGCACGGCGCTAGTTCCTAATTATATTTTAATGAGCAATTACACCTGTCGCCCCCCACTCCCCCCCCCCAGCAGCACTTTGGGGACACCAATGCCCCAGCGCAGGGGAGCAGCTCGGTTTCAGGGAAAGCACCGGGGGGGGGGGTCGGATCCATCCCAGCTCTGGGACCCCAAAATCTGTGCTGGGGCATCTCCACATCCCTTGCAGATCTCCGCAGGACACCCCCAAATTTATGTTTTAGGGGTTGGTTGGAAGCACCTTAAAAAGAAGGAAATATATTTAAAGAAAAACCATTTTTCCATTATTTTGGAGCAACTGAAATATTTGGGGGGGGGGGGAGAGGCTGATTTTAAGCAAATCCTTATTTCTGTAGACAGAAATTGGATGTTTTTAAACTAAACACAAATGGGGGGCTCCCTGTAAGCCCTCTGGGCTGCTGCCACCCCCCCCCCCATGGGACACCCACCCTTGGGGAATTCCAAAACCATCACCCCCCCCCCCCCCCTCCAGTTTCTTCCCATGGCCCAACTCACCAGCTCCCCACTCTCCTGCGCTGGCTCCGGGCAGGTTTGGGGCACGGGGGGACCCCACAGACACGGGGGGGCAGAGGAGGGCCAGCCCCCCCCCAGCAGCACCCCTCCGCTGTCACCCAGCTCCTGCACCACCCCGTCCTCCTGCTGCTGGGGTCACCAGGATAATGGGGTGAAAAGACGAAGAACAGGGGAAAAAAAAAAAAAAAAAAGGTGAAGCTTGGACAGGGGAAGGAAAACTACAGGTGCACCCCCAAAATAAAGGATCCCTGCAAAAATTTAAGGATTTTCATCCGGAAGTAGTAACTGGGGGATTTGGGGATGTTTTGTGGGGGTTAGGCTGCCCAGAGCAACCCCAAAGCCACCTGCTAAATGAAACCCCAAAGAGACAATTGTAAATAAAACCCAATTTTAAGCAAAGACCCCCCCCCGCAAAAAAAAAAAAAAAAAATCAAACGAAGCCCCCCCAAAAAGGCCAACCCCAAACGAAACCCCAAATAAGCCATTTTTAAATGAAGCCCCCCAAAAAGCCATTTTTAAAGCACTCGCTCCCCAAAACCTAAAAATTAACCCCCCCAGCTGCACCCCTGAAGCCATTCCCACAGATTTGGGGGGGGTCCCACCTGCAGGCCCCCCGTGTCCTGCAGGACCCCCCGCAGCAGACGGATGTACTCGGCGGCGGCCTTGAGCGTGTCCACCTTGCTGGGCTTGCGGTCGCGGGGCACGAGGGGCACAAGGGCCTTGAGTGCCGAGAACCCGCTGTTGAGGTTTTTGATCTATAGGGGAGAAAAAAATGGGGGAGGGGTTGCCTTTTTATTTTTGGGGTTGCCGCATTTGGATGGAAAAGCACACCCCCATTCCTCAGCATCCTCAAGTGTCACCGCTCTGTTTGGATCAATCTGCTTTGAATTTTGGGGGGGGGGGTGAGGTTTTTTTTTTTTTTTTTTTTTGGGGGGGGGAGGCCTCACCCGCTCACGTTCCTTGGCGTTGGCCGCCCGCCGCCGCTCCAGGACCCCCGCCAGGTCCCCCTCTGCCTCGAAGCCCCCCGTGGGGCCGCGGCGCAGGCGGACGATGGGGGCCACGCAGGGCAGGGGGCCGTGGCGCTGGCTCAGCACCGTGCCCAGCACCTCGGGGGGCGGCGTGGTCAGCAGGACCCCCGGCCCCCCCGCTGCCCCGCTCTGCTCCCCCATAACCAGGAAAAAGGGGAACCGGGGCCTGCACACAACACAACACAACCACCTCCTGAAAATAGCCTCAAAAGGCCCAAAATTCCCTTAAATACCCCCCCCACCTAACGGGCTTGCACCTGGTGCCCAGCTGGGGCTAACGAGCGGGGTGGGGGAGCTGCTTCGCCTGAATTAATTCTGGTTTTGGGACCGTCCGAGCTCATCCCTCGGCCCCGAAGTGGCCTGTTAAATAGGGAGTGACCCCAAGGCTCCAGTATTTGGGGGCTTTACGTTTGGGGGCTCTCTCGCAAGCAGGAGATGGGAGGGGGCGACACTGGAGAAAATATCCGGGGTTTGGTGGTGTCCCTGAAAAAACCCAGACCCTAAAACCTTAGGGTTGTGTGGTGTGACCCCAAAACACCCCCCAAAAAAACACCCCTGAGGCATTGGGGCCTAGCAGTGGATGAGCCCTGCTGCGCCGGGGATGGGCAGTCGCTGCCCAAAAGGGAGAAATGGGGGTTTTGGAGGTCTCATGTCCCCAGAAATGCAGGAATAGGGTTTTTTTTTTTTATTATTAGGGGTGGCAATAACAACGTGCGTGGTGTGATGACCGGGAGGCAGGCCTCGCTAGATGGCAGCGTTGGTCCTCACTGAACCCGAGGGCTGCTGGAAAATGGGGAAAATTCCCATTTGGGGTGAGCCCACAGCATCCCCGGGGACAGAGATCCCCCCAAGCCCAGCCACGCCAGTGGGGACGGGGCTTCGAGCCCCCGGATCTCCCCTGCTGGGAGAGGTTTTGGGGTGTGCTTGTGCCATGGGATGCCCCAGGGACACGAGGGGACCGAGGATGGGGTGAGGGGTGATGCTGCGAGACGCACAAAGTCCACATTTATTAGGGCTCGGGATGATTAGGGGTCATTTATTAGGGTCACAGTTATTGGGGCCATGGTTATAGGGGGTCATGGTTACTGGGAGTAATGGTTTGGAGGGACACCGCTACTTGGGGTCATGGATATTGGGGTCATGGTTGTTGGGGTCACAGTTAGCAGGCATTGACAGTTACTAGGAGTCACAGTTAGTAGGGAATTGTTTATTGGGGTCGTGGTTATTAGGGGCTGCTTCTTAAGGGTCACAGTTATTGGGGCTGTGGGTATAGGAGGGTCGGGGTTATTGGGGGTCAGGATTATTGGGGGCAATGGTTATAGGGGGTCATGGTTTGGGGGGCTCAGGATTTGGGGTGTCAGTTATTGGGGGTTAGGTGGATATTGGGGGTCACAGATATAGGGGGTCATGGATATTGGGGGCCAGGGTTATTAGGGCCATGGTTATAAGGGGGTCGTGGTTTTGAGGGAGTTATTAAGAGTCACAGTTACTAGGGGTGATGTTATTGGGGTCGTGGTTCTCAGGGGGTCACAGTTATTAGGGGTCACAGTTATTAGGAGTTTATGATCCCCAGGGCCACCCCACCCCCAGCACAGCATCCGTCCCGTCCCACCGGCCCCGCCGCCCGTCAGGGGCTGACATTTGCTGTTATCATGGGACTGGAAAATTACCCGGAGGTTTCTAATTACCCTGGCTGCAAAGGGCAGCAGCAGGGGGAAGGTGAGCAGCGGGGCCGTGTCCTGCAGCGGGGCAGCTGCTGACACACCATTAGCACCATCTGCCCTGGCACGGCCCCAAACGCCACCCAAGGGAGGGCACAGCTCATCGGGGAGGAGCCCGGTCCCCACCCGGGTGCCCGATCCCGAGGGATTTGTGGCCTCGTGCTGGCCCTGTGGTGCCCGGGGGCTGCGGGCTGGATCCTGCCTCGTGCTCGGCTTTTGGGAGCCGGGGCTGCTGTGTCCCCACCCCAAACCTCAACACCACAAGGCCTCCATTCCCCTGCGCCTTCGGGTTGAAAACGCCATCAGAGGGGGGCTTTGTGGGACGGGGGCTGACAAAAGCCCCTTTGGGAAGGCGGTGGCACGTCCCGGCGTGGCGTGGAGGTGAAAATCCCCCTGGGGCCCAACGGGGCCGCGCTGCGCCCTGCTCGCTGCTCACTTGGGGCACCACGGCCGCTCGTCCCGGAGCCTTCTGCACAATCTTGATGGTGGTGTAAATGCTGCTCCCCTGCCTCTGCCCCTGCCTGCAGGGTGAGAACCCCAGCAGCATCCCCCCGGGGTCCCTCTGGGGACCGTTTGGGGACCGGCCACGGTCGTGCCCAGCTTTGGCTCAGTGGCAACACGACATCAGGGCCCGTTTTCCCCAGTGTGAGAAAAATCTCAATTTTCTGCAGACAGGATCTTCTGTGAAGCTTTTTTATTCGTGATTGCAATTTCGGGCGTCCTGTCAAGCAGGAGCACATTTCAGTAAACAAACCCTAACCTTTTATTCCCTATCACCCCACGCCTGAACGCCTCCCCTGTTTCCTCATTGTCCGAGCACTACAGGTTCACAAGCTCCTCCACACTCCTCTATACCATATGCGTACAATTTTTCTTTCTTTTTTTTTTTTTAACCCTTTAATTTCTCCTTTCTTATGTTTTGCGAACTTCAGAAATCCCCAAATTTCTCCACCATCCCACACTTCCAACCCCTCGCACACGGCAGCCCCGATTCCTCCCCCACAGGCAGCTCCGGTCCCCGGGGCCGGGGGCAATTCGGGTGGCAATAAGGTGAATCACAACAACGTTATCAACTCGTGCAGGCGAAGCCTGCTGCCCTAAAGGGCATCCTGCCATCGCAGCCATAAAGCCACCACCGTAGGTGCCATGGTGACAGCCGTATCAGTGGCCCCACAGCGCCTTATCTCAGCCCCATACGGCCCAGGGAAGAGCCGTGGAGCTCCCATCCCGACAGGAGCTCTGCAGGAGCTGCTTGGGCAGAAACCTGGACAAAGATTCACGTGGGGAAGCCCAGGGGATGGTTTTGGGGGAGCCTTCAGCCGCACAGGCTCGGGTTTGGGGCTGGCTCCCAGTGCAGCGCCCGGTCCCCTGCCACCCACCAAAGCTGGGTCCTGGGCAGGATCGGTCCTGGCCTCACAACCCCAAATGCTCTGAATTATCCCCGAATTACCCCATCAGGGGTAGTAATGGGGTTTGTCAGGCGAAGGGACAATGGGGATTAAGTGGGGTAGGGACAGTAGGGGATGCTTTAGGGTCACTCAGCTCCCCGTGACCTGGCTTTTTGCGCAATGGAGTGAGGCGAAACGCAGCCCGTAAAATAAAAATCCACGCAAGGAGGTGAAAACCGCTGGGAAAGGAGGGTCCTGCCCCTGGCCAGCTCGCTGCCCCCCACATCACGTTTTGCTTTTCCTCGACACTTGCCGTGGGGACATGCCAGGAGCGGCACTGTCACGCCGCCAGCGCCCAGGACTCGGTTCCAGCTCCTCCGCAGCAGCAGCGGGGCCCGAACAAAGGCGGCTCTGTCCTCCCCTGCGGGAAGAAGCCTTTCTGTGTCAGTGAACTAAAAGCCGCGCTCAGGAGGGGCCCTTCGGCTTCCCCCTCCTCCCGCACGGCGGTTTGGGGGAGATAAAAGGGTTTTCTGTAATGCAAAAGCCTTGCCAAAAAGCCCCGGTGGGAGTTGGGTCTGCTCAGGGGGAAGCTGGAGCGGCTGCGGAGAGCACGGCTGGGTTGTGCCGGGTGCTGCTCCAGCGGGGCTGTCCCCAGGGGCCACATGGGGTGGGGTGGGGATGGAAAAAGGAATGGTAGGGGATGGCGATGAATGGGGACAGGATGGGGATGAGAGTGGATGGGGTTGGGCATGAGGACAGGGATGGGAATAGATGAGGATGGGGGTGGGGATGAGGATGGGAACAGGATGGGGATGGGGACAGGATGAGGATGGGGACAGGGACAAGGACAGGGATGGGGATGGGATGGGTGGAGATGAAGATGGGGACAGGGACAGAAATGGGGATGGATGAGGATAGAGATGGGCATGGGGATGGAATGGGGATGGGATGGGGATAAATGGGGATGGGATCAGGATAGGGGTGGGGATGGATGGGGCTGAGCTCTGCTGCACTTCACCTTACACAGGGAAGGTGCCAGGCCCAGTGCAGATCTGGGGCTGGCTTTAACGTTTGCCATGTCTGGGTGGTGCCTGAGCCCACCTGCAAATCCTGCTTCCCTGTGATCAGGGAACCTCAGGCAAGAAACCAGCCCCATCCCTTCTCCAGCTGCAGCACCAGAGCTGCGATTATGCCATAGAGCAGGCATCGCCTTTGGGACACCCGAAAAGCTGATTTCTGGGTCCCTCGAGCACCACCTGCCTCCTGCCTCCCTCCGCCTGCTGCACCGGGAGTGGGTACCGGAGGGGTCCTGCAGCACCGTGGGGACGTCCCCAGTGGGAACGGGGAGAAAAGAGGCCACGAGGCTGGGAAACGCAGGGAGCGCAGCGCGCTGCCTGCCTCCCCTCCTCCCCAAAGGTATTTTCTGCCTTGCCCTTCCCTCTGCATGGCCGGGCAGGAAAATCGCGCTGCTCGCTGCACGCCTGGGTTACTGCGGGGAGCGATTTCTTCCGCTCGGCTGTGGTGGCCGGTGCTGCCCTCCCTCCCGCCTCGTTAATCCCCGTTGGATAGAATTAAGGAGCGCATCAGCCCTAAACCTCTTTGCTCGCCAGCTCCTCTTCCGGGAGCGGGGAGCGGGGCCGTGCATGCCCGCGGTCACGTAGGGACGGAGCACGGGGCCGCGGGCTGGGGACGGCTGCTGCGGCTGCTCTGTCCTCCCCCAGGCACCCCAGCATCTCCCCCTGCCTGCATCCCACCTGAAAAGCCCCCCCGAGAAGCCGAGGGGCTGCCACAGGGCGGTGCGGGGTGTTCTTGTTAGAGCCGCATGGGCAGGACGCGTGCCCTCGCCCCGCACGCACACGTGCGCGCACGCACACGTGCAAACCCCATCTCCCAGCTGCTGCATCACCTGCGGGGTGTTAGCAGGACCCAGGCTGCCCCGGCACGGTTTGGGGTCACCCTACAAACACCCCCTTGCAAACACATCTTGCAAAAAAGAAAAGAAAATACAAGGGAGAGGGCTGATCAGTAAAACCACACCGAAAATCAGGGCAGCCTGCAATGTCACCGCACCGTCCCCGCTGCCACGGGGCTGGCCGGTGACACAGCCTCTATTTCTGGCCGTGCAAACAGGTGTGACACCCGGTGACCCACTCGATGCGGCCGCCGTGACAATGACGCCCAGCCCACGAGCCACCGGCGTGCCCTCCAAAAGCCCCCGGGGGACCGGGCATCCCCAAGCGAACCCCGTCCTGGAGAGCCGCATCCCTGCACCGGCAACGCCCGGCCGGGATTTGGGGCACGCGGCAGGAGCCGCCCCGAGCTGCTCCCCGGCTCCATCACCCCCTCTCCATTATTTTGCGTGGGATTAAAGCCACGGCTGCTAAAATCCTGTATTTATCCCCACGGTGCCCAGCCAATGACCTGGGTGCTGGCGCGCAGGGCTGGGGATCAGAGATGATAAAGCTGCCTCTTGCCCCCCGCTCCCCGCAAAGCAAAAGGCGCCCGGTGCCACCGCGCAGGGGGGCACGATGGCAGCGGCGAGCGGGAAGGGCTGCGCTCAGGTAAGGGGATTTTATCCCCGGCTTTGTGGGGTTTTGTGGTTTTTTTTTAAGCCTCGGGTACTGGCCGCGATGTCCGCGGCGTGAAGGGTGCGAGGCTGCTTCAAGCCGGCTTCCTCCCATCAGAGGAACTGAGCCCACGCCGCTGGGCAACGCTCCACGATGCCCTGATTCCAAAGAATTTGGGTAGGGTGGAGCTGACACAGCTGAGAGATTTGTGGCGATTTTCGGCACAGTGTGAATTCGAGGAAGGCACGTGATTGTGTGACAGCACAGCGCTCTCCCCCCACGTCTGGGGAGACCGCAGCGGGAGGATGCTGGGCGCAGCGTTTCTGGAGTTTTGTGCAAGGTTTTGTTTTGCTTTTGTTTTTGTTTTCCTGGTGTTTTGATATCATTGCAGCTGGAAATGTTAAAAAAAATAAAATAAAGGAGCCCTTGGTGCTGCCCAAAGGAGGTGGGGGCAGGGCTTAGGGCTTTGCCCCGAGCCCCTCTGGGGTTTGTGGTGCTGGTGGAAAACAAGCCAAAGGCTCCTCAACCCTTCCCTACGCTCTCTGACTGCTTCCAGCCTGATTTTTTTTTTTTTTTGGAGCTGCCCAAACCAAGCTGGGTTTGGAGCCCCCCGGCCCCTGCCCACACTGCCAGGACGCTGTGCAGCTCCTGAGGCAGCGAGGAAGGCTCAGGGGAGGGCACCCACACGAGGCTTTGCTCTCCCAACATCGATGCTGAGCACCAGCAGGGAAAAAAAAAAAAAAAAACCACGGGATGGTTTTGAGCACCCAAGCTCTACAAGAGAGGGGCTCACATCCTCACACCCACCTTTGGTCCCCGAGGTGCCACCAGCCAGGCCAAAGGGATGCTCCCCTGGGGGACACCGGGTCCCCAGCGTGGCACAGGCCGGGTTTGGTGACAACACCAGGCCTGGTTGGGAAAGTTTCGGGCACCGGGGCCGTTCGTCTGGGGGCGGCGTGACTCACGGCCCCGTGGCCCTGCCGGGACTTTTGACCTGCAGGAGGTGCCAGGATTGGGGCCGCGCCCTTCTGCAACCCCAGGAGCAGAGCCAGGATCCCTCTGGGGTGAGGGGCTGCTGGGTTTCTCAGTGAATTCGGCCACGCCAGCTTCAGAGGGGCACAAGAAAATCGTGTTTATGGGTCCAGCATCCTTCCTGCACCACCTCCAGCTTTTGGGGACCTTCCTGAGGCTTTGGGGACTGCGATGCTCAGAGGCAGCAGCTCTGATCCATGCTCCCCCCATCACATCTGGGGGCGGCAGCACCTTTCTCAGCCCCTTGTTGGGCAAATTGCATTTTCTGGTGCTGAGACAGCCTCAGCTCCCCTCCCTTATAGCAGCCCCTGCTCCCCATCTCCTACAGCAGCCCCCACCAGAAACCCTCTCAGGCTTGCACCCAGAGGTGGGAGAGACAGAAAAGAACCAGAGAAGGGCGAAACACGTGCGAAAGTTCAAGGCTGGCAGCTAAATCTCCTCCAATTTACTGTGCCACCCCAAAACAAAAAGCTCGGCCCCGTTCGGCCGCTCAGCACCAGCCACGAGCAGCCCCGGCCCCCTTGGGGACCACCAAAAAAAAAAAAGCTGGAGCTTTTTGGCACCGGCGGTGGGAATTTGGACATGAGCACCAGCAGGACGGATGGACGGACGGATGGCCAGATGGACGGATTTCCACCCGCACGGCCAGGGCTGCCCAAAAAGCTGAGCTATCGGACTGCTTTTCTATTTCCAGCCCCATGAGAGTTGGGTCGGGCGCCAGCGAGTTGAAGCTTTCCGAGGTGAACAAATGGTCCCCGTTGGCACTGCCCCGGCCGGGGTTTCCTTTTGGGACAGGACGAGTGGCGTGCGCGACGAGCAGGACGGTGGAAACTATGCGGGTGAATCACGGGGCAGGATTAGCGCCGGCTCCTGGATGAGCCGTGGCCACCGCGTGCCGCCCGCGCTCCCTGCCCGTGCCTCAGTTTCCCCGGGATAAAGCAGCGCCGGCGCCCTCGCTGTGACCCGCCGTGGGCAAAGAGCTGATTCCACGCAGCCTCCTTCGGCGGGATCCTGCCTTCCTCCGGAGCGAGCGCGCTGCCTTCGCCACGGTTATTTTGGGAATGGCATTAGGGGAATCGCCCGGCAGCGCGGCGCTGAAACGCTGCCAGATTCCTGCCAGCCGGCTCTCAAGGATGGAGATCGGGATTTCGGGTTTTGGGGTGTGAAAGGAATCGTGAACCACGGTGGAAAATTCACAAACTCAACTAATTCACAAACTCAAATTCACAAACTCAACAGAAAACACTGTTTGGAGACAGGCGCGGGGCAGAGCGCGGCCCCGGCTTCATGCGCAAAGGAATTCCCGCGCTGCCCTCCCGGCCGGTTTGGGGGAGGTTGGGACTGGGGAAGGCAAAATTTGGGGAGTTTGGGGGCAGGGCAGATGGCAGCCGGGTTTCTGATTTTGCACGTAGAGCCTCTTCCTTCGTAAAACACGTGAAAAAAAAAAAAAAGCAGCCAGATGTGCCTCGCTATTTTTAGGCTTGGCGACGCGTTTCGGCTTAACCGCGGAGAATTCGGGTCTTTAGCGGAAAGCTGGATGAGAGGGGGAAGCGAAACGGAGTCACGCCGGAAAGATTAAAAGGAATCATCCCCTGCCACGGGGCAGCCGGAGCCGAAACCTGCCCCACACCGGCTCTCGCTTGATGGGAAAGGTCAGGAAGGGCCCGGAGTGCCCGGAAAAATGAAAGGCGTCGGGCTCGGGTTCGTTCCTCGCGGTCTCTTTGGCTCGCTGCTGCCCCTCGCTTTCCTTTGAAATGCAGCTTCAATTCCTTGGAAAAAAAAAAAATAAAATGCTGGAAATGAGCGCTCGGGAAGAAATCCCACGAGGCGAAGCTGCCGAGGGATGGAGCTGGGCAGAGCCGGGAGCGGGTGGAGCTCAGGGGGGGGTTTGGTGCCGCCTGCCCCCGGCCCCGTGAGCTGCCCCAGGGCCTGGCGGTGCCGGACGTGCCCCGGTCCTCGTAGGGCTCCTTGCGACACCCCCTGTGTGCCCCCAGCACTGCACTCGCTCCCCACCCCATTAGTGCCCCCTACCCCATATACACCCCCGACCCCATATACACCCTCCAGCCCCATACAACTCCCCATACGCTCCCCCGAGCCCCCCACTCACTCCCACCCTACTCACTCCACCCCATAGAGCCCCCACCCCATACAGCCCCACCCCATATACACCCCCATCCCATGCACATCTCCTCCCCCATACACCCTCACCCCATAATTCCCTACCCCAAACACCCCCACCCTATATACATTCTTCCACCCCTAAACCCCCACCCCTTAAACTTTCCCCCGCCCCATATACATCCCCCCATATACCCCCACCCTACACACCCCACCCCAAACACCCCCATTCCATATACACTCCATACACACCCCCACCCCATACACTCCCGTCCCATACACACACTCTCAAAACCATACAGCCCCACACCATACACCCCTACCCCATAATTCCCCACCCCATACACCCCACCCTATATACATTTCCTTCTATACTCCCCACCCTATATACACCCCCACCCCATAATTCCACACTGTATACACCTCCACCCCATATACACCTCCACTGCATGTATTTCTCCTCCATACACCCCACCCCATACATCCCCTCCCCATACACATCCCCCCATAGCCCTCACCCCATAATTCCCACCCCATATACGTCTCCCTATACCCCCCACCCCAAACACCTCCACCCCAAACACCCCCACCCCATACACCCCAACCCCATATACATCTCCCCCTATACCCCCCTACCCCATATCCCCCACCCCATACCCCCCCACCCTATACCCCCCACCCCATATACTCCACCCCATATACAACTCTCCCTATACCCCCCCACCCCATACACCTCACCCCATACACCCCCACCCCATATACATCTCCCCCTATACCCCCCCACCCATACCCCCCACCCCATACACCTCACCCACACACCCAACCCCATATACATCTCCCCTATACCCCCCACCCCATATCCCCCACCTCATACCCCCACCCTATACCCCCCACCCATATACTCCACCCCATATACAATCTCCCTATACCCCCCCACCCCATACACCTCACCCCATACACCCCACCCCATATACCCCACCCATATACATCTCTCCCTATACCCCCCCCCCATACCCCCCCACCCCATACCCCCCACCCCAACCCCGTATACATCTCCCCCTATACCCTCTCACCCTATACCCCCCACCCCATACCCCCCCACCCCACACACCCCCACCCTATACCCCCCACCCCATACACCCCCACCCCATATACATCTCCCCCTATACCCCCCCACCCCATACCCCCACCCCACACACCCCCACCCTATACCCCCCCACCCCATACACCCCCACCCCATATACATCTCACCCTATACCCCTCCACCCCACACCCCCACCCTATACCCCCCATCCCCCCACACACACACCCCCTCCCCCCCCGCTCCCCCTTCCCCACTCCTTCCCCCCCCTCCCCTCGGGCTCCCCCCCTCGGCGGGTGGGCGGGGCCCCCGGGGCGCGCGCCGCCACACACCCTCGCGGCTCAGCCAATGGGGAGGCGCGGCGGGGGGGACGACGTCACGGGGGGGCCGGGGGAATCCTCAATGAGGCTGCGGGGCGCGCGCGGGCACCGGGGCGCGCGCTGCTGGGGGCCGCCTCCGCTCCGCTCCGCTCCGAGCCGCGATGATCGCGTCCCATCTGCTCGCGTACTTCTTCACAGAGCTCAGCCATGACCAGGCGCAGAAGGTGGGGCCGGGGGGCACCGGGGGGGACCGGGGGGAGACGGAAAATTCACCGTGAGGCGCCGGGGGGGACGGCTGGAAGTGGAAAATGGGGAGAGGAAAAGGGGCGTGAAGGGGGGAAAGGAGGGATATGGGGAAGGGGGGAGGGAAAATGTGGGTGGAAGGGGAGGAAATGAAAAATAAAAAAAGAGGGGGCAAAAAAAAGTAGGAAGAAAATTATATTTAAAAAGTAGGGAGAAAATTCTGTATAAAAAGTAGGGAGAAAAATATATATGTAAAAAGGGAGAAGAAAAAATATGTATGTAAAAAGGGAAAAGAAAAAAAAATATGTATAAAAAGGGAAAAGAAAAAATATATGTAAAAAGGGAAAAGAAAAAATATATGTAAAAAGGGAAAAGAAAAAATATATATACAAAGGGGGAAGAAAAAGTATATTGTATGGAAAGGGGGAAGAAAAAATATTTTAAAAAGGGGAAGAAAAAATATATAAAGGGAGAAGAAAAAATATATATATGAAAAGGGGAGAAGAAAGAAAAAATATGTATAAGGGGGAAGAAAAATAAGAGAGGAAGAAAAAAATATAAGGGGGGAGAAATGAAAGAATATATATTAAGGGGGAGGAAAAATATGTATAAGGGGGGAGAAAGAAAAGATATATAAGGAGAGAAAGAAAAAATGTGTGTAAAGGGGGAGAAGAAAGTTAAAAGGGGAAGAAAGAAAACCGATGGATAAAGAGGGAAGAAAAAGTGTATTTAAAGGGGGGAGAAAGCGGGAGGAAAGTTAAAAAAGTTAAAGAGTTAAAAAGGAAGATAAGATAAAAAGCAAGGCAAAAAGTGAAAAAGAAAGAAAAAAATGGGGGAAGCAGGAGGAGAAGCAAAGAAAAAAAAAGGGGAAACCAGAAAAAAAAGGAGCTGAGGGTGAGGGTGGTGACGCCGGGGCCGCGGGCCCATGGTGGGCGGGTGGCGGTGTCGCCGTGCGGGACGTGCCGTGGAGGGCCCTGCGTGTCCCCGAATGTCCCCAAGTGTCCCCACGTGTCCCCACGTGTCCCCCCCATGGGTAGGGGCTGGGGGGATCCCCCCGCTCTGCTCCCCAGCATTTTTTTTTTTCCCGGCCACCCCCGTAGCACGTGTGGCCCCCGAGCATCCCGCGGGCATCGCGGCACCTCCAGCACCGGGGGGCTCGTGGGGGCACTGGAGAGCCCACGGGGGGGCTGGCGGGGAAATGGCCGGGGGGAATGAAACCCCCTTAATTAATTAACCACGTGGAAGTGGAGCCAGCCTCGATTTCCGACCCCCCCCAAGGACCGCGGGGTGCTCTCGCACCGCGAACGCAAGTGGAAGCGTCCCCGGTGCTGCACCGGCACCGGCACCTCGGAGCAGGGCGAGCGGCGATGCCTCCGCGCCCGTCCTTTGTTTGGCCAGGGCGGGCGGGCGAGCAGCTCTCATTAAATTCAAGATTTGGGGCAAAAAATCACCTGCCTGGGGCCGTGGGTTTGGGGTTTCTCCGCTGAGGGTGCCGAGGGGGGTGGGGGGGTTCGGCTGCTGCATCCTGAGCTGGGGCTGCAGTTCCCGTGGAAGTTGGTGGGGATTTTTGGGAAATGGAAATGAAGCAGCTGCTGAAAGCGCCCGGCCACGGCGAGCCCCAGCGTCCTCGCTCCCGTCTGGGAAGGCGGAGAGGACACGCGGCGAGCGGGGCAGGCAGGGAGAGGTGAAACCCGCCACGCTGGCGGCAGCCCTGGGGCTGCGGGAAATAGGAAGTCAAACAAGGGTGCGGAAAAGAGAAAAAAAAAAAAAAAAAAAAAAAAAGCTGCATAGAAAAAACTTCCCCAGCTGTAAAGAAAGACGGGGCTCGTCTTCTCCTTCCGCTGGCTGTGTCAAGTGTCGTGGGGTTGTGCAAGCGAGCGAGCCACGAGAGAGGGTTGTGTAACCCGGCGGCAGAAATAGGGCAGCGGCGTGGCCCCGCTGCTGCGTTTTTGGCTTCGGGTCAGCTCTCGGGTTCCTTATCGGGTTCCTTATCGGGGGCCGGGGGGGTTTGTGGAGCGCCTTCGGCTTCGTTACGCGGCGTGCCCGGGAGCCGCCGTGATTCCTTCTGCTCCCGAGCCCAAACAAAGCGGGTGGTGGAGATGTGGGACAAAACGGCCGCGTTCGGCCCCAAAAAGTAACCAGCCCCACAGCCGGGGTTGTTTTTTAAACAAATTCCTGCCGATTTGGAGCTCGGCACGGCTCTCCTGTAGGGGATGAGGGCATCCGTGCTGGTAGGGCAGATCATTAATCCCTGCCCTGCAAATCCTCCTGAGCGGGTACCCAGCACGGAGAAATGTAGGGGATGGAATTCTTGGAAAGCTGAGATTTTGCGATTTTCCCAAGTGCCAAACTTAAACCTAAGCCCAGAGTTCAAGCCTGAATTTGGGAAAAGATTTGAGGGCACTCACCCAGGCCGTGCTTGGGGTCAAGCGCCTTTTTTTTGATCCGAATCGGGCAGAAAAGAGTCTCGGACGTGGGAACGAAGTGCCCTTTCCCTGCGCTGTGGTTTCTTTCCGCCGGCGGGACAAAGGCCTTCAAAACCGCCCCAAAATCGGACTTTTCTTTGCATTTTTCCTCCACCCAGCTTTCCCCAGGGGTCCGCTCGGTGGCCGGGAAGTGGGTCGGGGCCCGAAGCCCTCTCCCCTCCCAGGGGTTGTGCAAACCCCAGTGCGCCCGGGCCGCGTCCTTTGGCACCCCGGGATGAAAGCTGCCGCCACCCGACCGCGTTCCCCGGGGATGTGCCAGGCCCTGGGCTTCCTGCTGCCCGCCCCAGCCCCGTGCCAGCGAGGTGACAGCGGCAGCGGGCGGCTCGTGACTCACCACGAAATAATTGGGCCGGCAGCTTTCCTTCCTCACCAGTACTTTTCCTTAGAAAGAAGGGAAAAACGGAGCTCGGGTTCGTTTTCCTCCCGTTTTTTTGGCCCCGACCAGCAGGTTTTTGCTCCCCCCCTTTATCTTTTGCTGCAGTACATTAATTTTACGTCGCTCCTTTCGCCCCGGCTCCCTTATTTTTTTTTTTTATTATTTTGCAGCCGTGGGAGGGGCCGGCTGGGATTGCAGGTTCCTGGAAGCCATCCCGCGGCTTCTCCTCACCCTGGCAAGGTCAGCGGCAGGACAGACAGACGGAGGGACGGACGGACGGACAGACAGACAGCCTGCCCGGCCCCCCTGGCCTCCCGTCACCTTTCGGGGTGCCTGTGGTGCAGCCCCGTCCCGAGCCTCCTCCCATTTGCCTCTGGGATGTGACTCAGTTTCCCCGCCGTGTTGAGCTGCTCCCAGCCTCCACAGCCCCCTTTTTTTCTTGCGGGGCAGCATCCGAAGGGGAAGGGGGGCTCGGATGGTTTAAAAGAGGAGAGGAGTGCTGGTAAGGGAGGGGGGTGCACATAGGGTGGGTGATCCACAGGCTTCTGGCTCCCAATTTCGAGCTGGAAACGAGGCCATTTTCAGGTCCAAATGCTTTTTATTTTTTTTTGGGGCTGCCCTTGGCTGGGTGGGGTTGGCAGGGGGAGATGCGCGAGGACAGGTCCCCATTCACCGCCTCCCGGTGATGCAGGGGGCTGAGGAACGGGCGCCCCGCTCCTCCTGCGGGGCAGGATTGGGCCCAGGGCTGGGAGGAACCGGCCGAGCAGGAACGGCTCTGAGTCACTGCGGCTGGAAATGACTCGGGGCTTGTGTCATCGGGGGCTTGGCCGCACCGGGGGGGGTCACGCGGGGTTGGATTCAGCAGGCGGGGAGCGGGCGAGGGGCACGGGCACTGCAGGGGGCAGGGGGTGGCTGCAGGGTCAGCCCCCGGACCCCGAAGCGCTCAGGGACTGGCAGCGTTTGGGGCAAGGTCGGCGTCTGCCAAGGGAAAGGTCGTGGTTGTGTCAGAAGCTGGGGCAGGAATTCGTTAATTTCGGGAAAAGGGAATTCATCAATTTTGGGAAAAGGGAATTCATCAATTTGGGAAAAGGGAATTCATCAATTTTGGGAAAAGGGAATCCATCAATTTCGGGAAAAGGGACTGTGAGGAGGAGGCCGGGGAGGGCTGGCAGTGCGCGTTTGTAGTTTTTAGGAGCGCCGCCTTGGCCCAGCTCTGTCCATCGAAGCCTCGTAGCCCTCTCGGAGCTGGGCCGTGTTTTCTATCCTGACAAATATTTGATTCTCCGTTGCCAAAAAGGCAAAGAATCCGCTCCAGCACGCCGCCAGCCCCTCGTGACACCACGCCATCCCCCGCGAATCCTCCTGCTACGGCTGCGTCCAGCTGGAAACCGGAGGGGACCGACCCCGTGGGCGCTTTATTTTTTGGGGGAAAAAAAACCCTAAAACGGCAAAGGGGAAGGGCTGCCTGCGGCCACGCGGGCGCTGCAGGAAGCGGTGGCGCTCGCCGGAAGCCGTAACCGTGCTGCTATTGCCACCCTCGAGCAGTGCTGGTCCCACAGCCACGAGTCGCAGAGCTTCCTTTTCCTTTTTTTTTCCCCCCCCTCTCTTTTTGGGGTGCCCCAACCCAAGTCACTGCCCGTGCGCCGGGGTAGGGTCTGAGCGCAAGGGAGTTTTCCCCGAACTGGAAGGAAATTGTTCCTGGTTGTGTGTTTGCAGCTCCACACCCTTAGGGACACCCTGGTGGGAGCATCCAGATGATTAGGAGGAAAAAAATTCAGAAAATATCATCTGGCCAGCTCACGGAGCTGCTCCTCCAGCACCTCCCAAACCCCCCGGACCTTCCCCCACAGCTCGAGCTTTCCTCCTCCCTTGGAGCACGAAGGGAGGGCAGCAGAGCCTCCTTCCCATCCCGTCCTCCACCTCCCAGTTTGTACCAGCAGGGAAGGCGTGCTGGGACCAGTGACCCCATTTCTTTGAGGCTGGGTCCCGTCGTGTTCCCCAGCTCCGGGGCAGGACCGGGTGCCTGAACCCGGGGAGGTGCCGCAGCGCCCACCGTGCCCCGGCCGCCCTGACCTGGCTCAGCCGCCAAGTGGGACGGGGTCTGCGTTTGGAGAAGATGATCCCGGGTTTAAAGAGCTTCGGGGATTAGAGGAAGGTCACCCCGCGTCTCGCGCCGCCGATTATTCCTGGAGGACATGAGGAACGTGTCCTGCGGAGGGGAGGCGCAACCTCGTGCCCTGCACCAGGGCAGGGAGCTGGCCTCGGAGGATGCTGAGAAGATCCCAGCTCCTGTGGGAAGGACGAAGGGGACAGGGGGGTGCTGGCAGCTTTTTGTGACCCCACAGGGATGAGACCCCATCACACAAGGTCCAAGGGAAGGACGGGAGAGAGACTTTGGCACCGTGGTGCTGCCCTTCAGGAGCAATGCCACAAGCACCGGCAGCGTGGTGCGTGCACCACTGACCTAAAGGAGCTTTCTTGGGACATTTTGCCCCAAAACCATCTTTACCAGGAACCCCTGAGCCACCCGAGGCTGCAGAAGGCAAGGCGAGGCAGAGGGAAGGTCGGATCCTGCCTCTCCGGAGCCGCAGGCGGCGCGAGGTGCTCCCGAGGTGCCCGAAGGAGCGGGGTGGTGGTTGGGGAAAGGCGCCCGCAGCCCAGCAGAACACGGTCCCGTGGGCTTGGGCCACCCGGCCCGGCTCGGTGCCATCGACCCACGGCCGCCAGGGCGGTCCCAGAGGGAATTTCGTGGAGGAGGCAGCGGGTGGAGGCGAGAGGCCACAACCCCAGCCCTGCTCCGTGGGCAGCAGTTGGGGAAAGCAGTGGGCGTTTGCCTTCCTGCTCCCCGGGTGGGTGAGGAGGGGCAGGCAAACAGTTAGGGGGGTGGGGAAGGGCACGTTTCCTCCTGGGCTGCTCCCGGTTCGCATCTGCCCCGGCTCCAGTCGCCTGTTCCAGGTCGCCTCCTGGCCAGAAACCCCCAGGGGGATGCGAGGAGGAGGCTGGAGCCGCCGCCTACCGCTCCAAGCCCCTTCAGCAGGGTTTGGGCCCCGAAATTTTGGAGAGAGGGGACCCCGAGCAGCCCCGAGACAGAGCCCAGAGCAGGCGGGGGAGCAGGGGCAGTGAGGGCAGCGCTCGTTCCGCGCCCGCAAAACGCCAATTTCCTCCATCAGGAGGAATAAAAGGCACGCCGGATTCGGGGTGACCCCATGGTACGTGCCTGCAGACAGGTGAGCAGCTGGGTGGGGTTCTCCTCTGGCTTCGCAGGGCTTGCAGCTGCCCTTTAATTAACGTTAAGTGAAGTTAATTGCGACGGGGCACAGCTCGGGAAGCTGGCGGTCCGTCTGTCTGTCCGCCTCTCCGCTTGCCGGCCCTGCCCAGCTCACGGACAGGAGCGTGCCCGGCGCCAGCGGCTGGCTCGGGGCCGGGATTTGTCCTTTGTCCTCCCAAGGGGCGCTTCGATGCCACTTGTAGGGGATGGCGGGCACCTGGTGCATGGCTCTGGGCACCTCACTCGTGGCTCTGGGTGTTTGCTGCAGGGCGCGGAGCAGCTGCCAGCACCGTAACGCTTTGTAAGGGCTCCCCAGGAGGGAACGAATGAGCAGCACAGCAAGGAAATGAAATAAACGGGGTGAATTCCCCACCGGCAGCCTACGCAGAGCGGGTTGGGGGGCTGAGTCCCAGCCATCCTCTGCTGTACGGCCCCAGGACCCGACTCGGGGGCAGAATCAGGCCCCTGCTGGGGGCTGCGGGGGCACTCGGGGTTTGGCTCTCCCACATCCCCGTCTGGGGATGCTGCAGCGAAGGGCACACGGCGCGATTTGTGACCCCGAGGTGTTCAGGAAGATGTGCCAGGGCTGTGACCAGCGTTACCAGCATGCGGAGAAGCTGTCCCCTGGCACAGATGATCTGCTCTTGCTGGCCCCCCCATCCCGCTCACCTCCTGCCCTCTCGGCACCTTTCAGGTGGACAAGTACCTGTACCACATGCGGCTCTCCGAGGAGACCCTCCAGGAGGTGTCCGAGCGCTTCCGCAAGGAGATGGAGAAAGGGCTGGGAGCTGACACCAACCCCACCGCCTCGGTGAAGATGCTGCCCTCCTTCGTGAGGTCCACCCCGGACGGCACAGGTATGGGAATGGCAACGGGAAACGGCCCCCCCGGGCCTTGCTGGGCCAGCTGTCCCCAGCGAGGTGGCCCTGGAGGTGCCACCACGTGCCAGGGGCCACTTGGCCTCGCGGTGCTGCAGGAACGGGGCTGGCGTTGCCCAAAAGGGGGTCCCGTTTGTGCCGGGGGGTGCTGGGCACAGGACGGGGACCGGGGGGCTCCCAGCTCGTGGCGGTGTGGGCTGGGGTTGGGATTCAGCCCTCACGTGCCCGTCCCGGCAGGACGAGGCTGTCACGGGTCCAGCTCATCGCATTTCATCGAGGCCAGACAGCCCTGAACGCTGTGGGGACCGCGTGAGAAGGCGCTGGGGAGGCTCGGAGCCTCACAATGCGCCTTTCTGCACGCTGCCACGTGCCTCCAGCCGCCCGGCGGGGACCAGACCCCTCTCGGCCAGGAGATGGAGCACGCTCCTGGCCAGGCACGGCTCCCGTTTCGGGTTCTGACTTGCTCACCCCGCACCAAACCTCTTCCTCCAGCACCTCCTCCTCCTCGGGCTCGGGGGCTGGAGATGCTGCTTCAGCCCCGGCGCCTTCAACAGGATCTTATAAAACCTCGGTGGAAAAAAGCAGGGAAAAAGGGAGCTGCCAGAAGAACCCCATCCTGGTGTGGGTCAGACCTGCAGACACGGGTCCTGATCTGTAGGATATGGATGGGTGGAGGTGCAGGGTGGGGGTTGCAGCTCTCAGGTCCCCGGGGAGCTGCGAGGAGCATCAGGAGGCGGCCGCGTGCCCGCCCGCACCCCGGTGCCGCCGACAGCTGGACCTGGCCGCCTGCCCCGGGATTGAGATTTAGATCTCTTTAAATATTTGAGAACGCCTTAATTACAGGGATAGCCCCAATCCTGCCCCCGGCTACGTGAACAACGGCAGCCAAAGGTGATGGGAGCGGCGCGGGAGCGAGCGGGGCGTGTGTGGCGGTGCTCCCCGAGGAGAGGCAGGGCGACGCAGGGAGAGCCTGCACCCACTGCTGCTGGCTG